AATCAGCAAGATGGTAGATCACAGTTGACGTCCGAGGTTATAGGTACGAGTCATCCGAGGAACTCCGAGTGAAAATTTGAAGTCTCTACATCAAAATCACACAAACGTTTGATTTCAAGCGTCTAAATAATAATAATATTGCAACTTTTTGGTCGCGATTATTATTGTTGGAGTAACACAGATTATAATTGTATGATCGATGTGGAATATAATTGTTATAAATTTGAAGCGAAATAAAAATAATGTGTTTGCATGGGCAAACAAGATTATAATTGTTAAAATTTAAGTAAGAATAATTATTATAATTTTGAGGTGAAATAAAATTAATGTTTTTAAACATCGATTGACAAGATTATAATCATGAGGCGAAAAATTATAATAATGTGTCTACATATTGACTGGCAAGATTATTATGGTGAAGTGAATCATTATAATTGTAGGACAAAATAATAATAATGTGTACACATTTAACTGACAAGATTATAATTGTTGCAGGAAAATAATAATAATGTTGTAAAAAGCAGGATTTTTAGTTTTGGATGAGATAATTATTTTTGGTATGATTATATAGGAAAAAATAATAATAATGTGGGGGTACCCTACGGCATTCCATAGTTTTCAACATCACATACAAGATTAAAAAAAATGTTAAGAGTGGCCGTCTTATATCATGAAATACCGGGTGACTATATAAAATCAATATGCAGTTGTCTTATGTATGAGAGAATCATGCCAAGGTGTCAAAGCCTTAATCTTGAGTTACAATTAAATCCAATATGGTTGCCTTCATAGGATTTTTAATTATTTCATTTTGAATATATCCAAATATTGGAACATGTACACCATAATGTAAATTAAAATTTGTCTGCATTTAATAAACCATAATATATAAAGGTCTCAAGGTTTACAAGCGAAATAAAACAGAAGAATCGTTGCTCAAAAAATCATTTAAAGCCTCTAAGTCCGATTCTGATCGCAAAAAAATATATATCATTTTTCTTCTTGAAAAATAATTGTCCATAAATTTTTTCAACTTTTGTCAAATTACATCCCCAAGGTCTTTTTCTTTTAAAAGATATCAAAATTCAAAAGTTAATAAAATATAAGTTTTGTTAGGTCGCACAAAAAATATTCCTATGTTGATATCGCGTGAAATCACCTTCGAAAAATTAAATTTATCGATTACATCTCATGAAGAACAAACCCGAGCATTTTTTTCAGAATAAAGTACTTATAACCTGTACAAGGACAATATTGTAGCCTTGGTTACTAAACTTCATAAAAAATCTTTAAATATTATTATTATGATTTTCCTATATTCTTTAAATATGCATATAAATATAAAAATAACTATGGATTATGTTCAATTAATTTTGACAGACGAAACCTTAAAACTGGTACATGTATTTTATTTTTAGCGAGGTGTAATTTTAGCGATCTCAGCACCCTCGCTTATAATTCCAAAAATTAAATTAAACCATCGCTAAAAATTCTGCTTATACGGTAATTAGCGGGTTGCAACAAGGCCCCCGGGGAGGGGGGGTGTGCTTAATTCTCCCGGGAATATTTTGACACCCGAATGGCTTTTAGTTTTCTTCATCTCACCAACGGCAGCAGGGTAGTTGGTATGTGTGTGCATGTCACGTGTGTGTGTGTTTTTGTTTTAGTTTGTTTGTTTTTTTTTTTTGCCTTTTTGCGACACGAGGATGTTCCTAGATCAGGGGTGCAGAACTGGGAAAACTCGATGTGATGCCTCTCAAGAAGTTGTAAACGACTCTGACATCGACGTCAATGAGGAATAATGATTCCGGAGACTCTTAATTGTTCAAAGATATTTACAATAAAATTTGAATATCTATACATGTACTACATGTATATGGCAACTTATCCTGCCTCTGAAAAAAATCTAGAAATTTCATTGGCCGAGAGCAATACTGCATGAAACGACGTTAAGCTGTCTATCCACCTCACATTGCTAATGTGCCCCCTCCACGTGACCTACCCACCATATATTAAAAATTTACCAACCACCCATTATCAATATACTGCTTTCACGTGACCCGCATGGAGCTTCATATCTGACGTCACAATGCGTCTGACGACAACGTACAATGGATGTAGTTCCAACGTCTTGCTTGGACGCTCAGTGAAAGCGGTTTATCGATACTATCAATATCTAATCTTTTAGTGAATCATCGGCAGGATAAATTCGTTATGTAGACACTTAGAGGGGTAATACGGAAATATGTGGGGTCCTTGAAAAAATGCATATTGGGCTCGGCTTTCGCCTCGCCCGATATGGATTTTTTCAAGGACCCCACATATTTCCGTATTACCCCTCTAAGTGTCTACATAACTAATATTCTCCGGTCAGTCTAACTTTACGACAATGAGAACATAGTAGATATTCCGAGAGTGATATCACGAACGAAAATCGTACAATGTATCTTATATACGTACAATATATTTTTCTATCGCCTTAATTTGCTTGATACGTTGATTGCAAATTCTTTCCAATCTTATATCTGGGATGTATTTGAAAGATATGAATCTAACTACAAGTATTTAATAGTTTTAAAAAGTGTATTAAATGTGTTATACAACAATATGCCCGAGCCATCTGGAGGGACTGAGAAGATGTGATTGCTTTTGCTTTACTGGCAGATCAGATTCTTTGTTGGATTGCGCAATTGAACACCAGTAAATTCAATTGTATTTCAGTCAGATTCATCAGTGTCGTCACTCAACACATCACAATATCGGCCGAAGTGTATACTTTCAGGCAAGATTTGCGATAATAAAGCGCATGGACATTTTACATTGGCGTCGGAAGCAAATTGAAAGTAGGGGGGCTAAGTATAAAAAAAAAATTTTGTACCTTCAAAAAACCTGACAAGCAAAAAAAAAAGGGGGGGGGGAAATGGAAACACGAAAATCCTATTTCGTGGGTGGGGGGGGGGGGGGATAGGTTCGAACTTCAGTACCAAATTTTTTTTCCAAACACCACCACTTTCCACATTTTGAACCTATCCTAAGACGTATCTGTGGAAAGTGGAGGGCCTAAACCTACAAAGATAATTATGTTCAATGTCTATACTATATTTGGAAAAAAAGTGGGGGGGGGGGGGGGGGGGCTAAGCCCCCCCTAGCCCCCCGGTTCCGACGCCTATGTTTTATTTAACGCTGGGACATCATAAAAATGACGACTTCGCCGTATATCTAGCTATATCTTTATGAATTAAAACGTCTGTAATATATTTTAAGTAAGATATTGTCATTATTCATATATTTTCCTTGCCATTGATATATAATACTTAATATCTTCTAGAAAAACCATATCTGTACACAATATAAATGGATATTCCAATGCTATGTGTGAAGAAACACCAATATCGTGCGCGACGTCATACCGTCAAGCACTTCTTTAGCGGAATATCATGTCATTTTTAAGAGGCTCTTGATAGTCTCGTTTTCCCCAGACTCTCGCTCTCGAGACTTTGCCCGAGCGAGAGTCTGGTCTGATTCCTATTTAATTTTTGTAATTTCAAATCGAGGCTTACCGAGAAATCGGTATGGATTTTCATTGGCTGATACATTCTCTTCGATGCTAAGATCTGTATTTATTAAAAAGTCAGAGGCTGCGCCTTTACTTTTATCTGGTTTTATAATAAAATACCTCTATCTTCTTTACAAGGAACAAAAAAACGCACATATCTTTGTTTAAAAAGTAAATTCTCACATGTATTTTCATGGGAGTCGCCATCTTGTTAGCCGGTTTAGCGACCTCTACTGGTTACAAAAATTAAACAGGAATCAGACCAGACTCTCGCTCGGGCAAAATCTCGAGAGCGAGAGTCTGGGGAAAACGAGACTAGGCTCTTGACGAAAAACTAAACGTGGTATTAGAGTAATTTAAACTGTATTGGAAAATATGGCATGCATTGTAGACACCTTTCAAAAAATCCCGTATCAGATTCAATCACAGGGCCAATTATAAACCATAACGACTCTTCTTGTTTAAGACTTAGGCTTCAACTAATGGATAAAAAATACTCGGGTTTGAATTATCTTTATAATTATATATAACCGATAAATTTATTTTTTTTCCATGGTGACTTCAAAACAGATCTTATCTTCCGGTCAGGAACTTCTGTTTGTCAATAAGCATAAGGTTTTGATCTATGTTTTCTTGTAAGGATTGTTTTAATAAACTATTAAATCAATCTAATAATTTATTTTTATATAATTATGTAATGATGTACTTTTATTGTGTAAGATAATATGTGCCTGTTTCGGATTTATTTAAGCGGCTTTAACATGCGCGTAATAATCAAAGTACTCAGAAGTACAGAGAGCCGGGCTCATTTACAGAGTAGAATGGATTTCTGACATGAATCACGTTTATATTCTGATGAAAAAATTATTTTAAAGCTATCAATATAAATGGTAAGACACTGACAGTGAGTTTTTTCAATCCTAATACCACGGTCCGATTTTGTCAGAATCAGAATTAATCTGGTACTGCAGCTGAATGTAAACAAACAGGCCAGTCTGGTTCCCTCTCCTGCTTTACCTCGTATGTGTAGAGAAGTACGGTAACACCGATTATCAAAAATCCTTACGCTAATGAACTATGTTCTTTGACTTATGAAGTTTTCAAAGACATTACTACTAAATAAATGTTTATTTTATATAGATAAAACTTCGTTTTAGTTTTGTTGCTTTATTTAGCTTTGTATTATCTCAAAAGCGGTTGAGAGTAAGAACTATATTTTTGCACGTTACTTTAAAATGGCGACTATGGGGTCAACATCCTGCCTTGAACAGGATCACATACAATGTAAGCCGGCAATTGCTCTTTGAGCAATAAGCCCGGCTAAAAACAGTTCAGTATGAAAGATTGTGTAGATCATAAGATACCAAGTTCATGTATTTATTCCACGATATTTATTTCTGAATTTATTCCTTTTCAGTAATAAATTGTACTTATTTCGGTAAAGATGTTCTGTCGATGGCAAATATGGAGGCAAACTGTGAAAGAAATCCAATAATTTACGGCAGCAAATGTCATCTTAGATGTATCAATGGATATGAAATAAAACCGGGTGTAAAACAAATTACGCTGGAATGTTTGACAGGCAGTTCCTTTAGCGGGAACATCCCAACTTGCAAAAGTAAGTTTAATCATTTTATTTCAGTATTCTTCAATAATTGATAGCGATTGTGAAAATTAGTATACCTGTTATTACGCCTTTTGGACATATGCTGGAATGTGCTCAGAGTAAGATCATATTACGCATGCTAAAATAACCAGGGTTTCATTAAAATACACGAGTATTATTTCGAAATAAAGCTATCAAACAGATAAGATTAGGGTAAAAATATATCCTATCATCCTATTATGATATTTTGACATTATCCAGTTTTAGGGGGAATGGGTGATGGCGTTTATATTTGTAAATGTGTCTTGACACAGATGCAAACAACGTTGTATTTACGGACGTATTTAAATTTATTGTTTTATCAATATTGATATTTTACCACTACATGTATTTTGTTATCGAATAAATACATATTTTAAGAGTTAATAAGTATATTTTACATATGTACTACCAAAAGGCAAACAAATATAGTCATAATAAGTGTATAATAATGGTTCATCGAAGATAATATTTCTTATTTTCTTGCGTTTTTGGGGTCACAAGTCAAACAGGTGTGTTTCAACGCACTTTGAAAAAAAAAATCCAGAAAAAAATATCCAAAGTGCATTTACTTTGGGACCACCTTCAAGCACTTTGAAAAAAAATCTTCAAAGTGGTCAGTGATAATTAATGTCCTCTCGATTAAAAAAAAATTACTGTCGTTGGAACATATTTGGCAAAGTGTGTAAGAAAGCCAATATTTTACGGCAGCAAATCTTAGATGTGCATGTATAAATACAGGTGTATTCTTTTCGTTATTGATAAGGGTAAATCAATTCATGGAAGTTTTTATTTAAAAGAAATGCATTATATATAACAAAATCAAACTACAATTTATATTACTAAAATATAAGTCCAGAATTTCGTTTTATGCAATTTGTTATCAAAGTGCATTAAGTGTCTCCGTTGTAAAAAGAAAATTTTGATGTACACTTTTAATCCATTTTGTAATTTTTTTTGGAAGTGCTTTGATTTTGTTCAAAATTTAACAAATCTTAAAATTTTTAAAAGTGTGTTGATTTTTTCCCCCAGATTTATCGCATTTTAATTTTTTTTTCAAAGAGTGTAATTGTTTTTAAAGTGCGTTGCCACACAGATGCCTATTGCTATTATTTATTTTAATGATTTAAATATAAATAAAATTTAAATTCCGTGGTCTATGTTTACCAAGATATAGACCTGAGAGTAAGATTCTCATTTTTTTTCATTCTGATAACACAAACTTTGTTATTTCTTATAATCAAAAGCGAAAAAGGACTCATCCGAAAAGAATACCAATTTTGTTTAATTAATAAATAACTGTTTCTGTGTACCTTGAAAATTTGATATATTAAAGTTTTGTTTTCTTATATATGATATAAAAAATGAAAAATAAATGTTTGCACTTTGTATTTTCAGAGGTTACTTGCAACAAACATGACATTAAACTGAAGGTTAACAATGGGAAAGTTAATTGTGGAGATAACACATACGAATCGAAATGCCACGCAGAGTGTAAACAGGGGTATTCCTTGTCGCCAGGAGTCAACAGTGTCACTTGCCAAGCTGACAAATCCTGGTCATCAAAACTACCGGACTGTGCAGGTATATCTGAATCTTGTTCAATTTAAAAATATCGATGTGTAACTATGCTCATAAAACTAATAATTAATAATTTGATTGGGATTAAAAAGAGAATAAAATAAATTTATTTCAAAATGGATTCTTAAATAATATTAATTAAAAATAAAGGGTTTCTTACAAAGAAAGATAGGTTAGGTAAAATTAAAAATATAGATAAGGAAGGGTTATAGTAAAATTATTCTTCTCTATGGCCTAAAATCTGACCTTGTATGGAAACTTTTTGACAGAGTGTGGATTGTGATTATTTCATACAATGACCACAATAGGAAATCAAAGTTTTACATATAGATCGGTCCTACTAAACAGAGTACGCTAGTACGATAGAGTACTTTAGAGTACGCTAGTAATATTTTATAATTTAATGCAATTAAACTACTTTTTGTATGTTTTTCTACTTTAGTTTAACAAATTGAATATATATTTTAGATAAAATTTGTATGTTTTCTTTATTTCAGGAGTTATTTCAATTTTTGATTTTAGGTTACAGTTAATCGTTTGATCGCGATCTAATTTAAATTGAACGTGTTGAAATGTCTCATTGTGAATTTGTAAAACATTTACCCATGCAATTAGTTTAATATTTGATAAAATTTGGATGAAAATCTTTAGTAAGTAAGTCTAAAACAAAATAGTAATCGAGATTGGGGTATTTGTAATCTTTTGAAAATGCTTTCCATTATGGATGTTGTTTTCTTGTCAAATAACAAATATTTGAAACAAATACATTTGTATTGCAATATAAGTTTATAATAATGTTTAATCAAGTTGTACATACATAAATAAACAATTTAATTGCATTAAATAACATAATTTTTCTAGCGTACTCTAAAGTACTCTATCGTACTCTAACGTACTCTGTTCAGTAGTACCCAATATAGATATAAAAGGAAAATAAATATCTCCAAGAACCAATGGACTAGACATGCTGAAACTTATGTGAAAGCTTTCTGAGGAAGTATACATTAATCATTGATACATTCGTGTTCCTAGGACGTAGAGTGGAGCCAAAATAGGGAACAGTAAACCCTAACAAAAATACTATAATTTTTCATGGTTATCACTAAAGTAAATCAAAGTGTCAAAGTTATCACTAAAGTGTCAAAGGGTTTACTTTAGTGTCAAAGTGTTCACTTTAGTGTCAAAGTATTCAGTTTAATAAATCAAAGTTTTCAAAGTGATCACTATGGTGTCTAAGTTATCACTTTAGAAAATCAACGTTTTCAAAGTTATCAATATAGTAAATCAAAGTTTTTCCACAGTAAGTCAAAGTTTCCATAATGATCACGATGGTAAATCAAAGTTTTCATAGTTATCACTATAGTAAATTAAAGTGTCAAAGTTTTCACTATATAGTAAATCAAATTGTCAAAGTGTTCATTATAGTAAATCAAAGTTTTCAAAGTGTCAAAGTGTTCACCATAGTTAACTATAGTATTTTGTTGCTAGGGTAGGCGCGATTAGTAATATTATATGTAAATCCGAGGCATCCTGTTGAAGTGTAGATTTAAGTTTGTTTAAATAATGACCTCTGTTATCTGAAACATCTCAAAATTGAATAAATTTTTCTTATCAAATTAAAAAGGTAAACAATTAATATAGGCAATGGGCCTCATGTTTATTTTTAATTTAAAACAGATACCACTCGTCCAATTATTGAGTATTGCCCCTCAGACATTAAACTTTTTGCCGATGCACGTGCCAATTACACACATGTCACTTGGCCCATACCGAGAGCTGTGGACAACTCGGGAGGCAATTTGATGATCCAACAGACAGAAGGTCCTAGAAATGGTTCAAAGTTTTATGTTGGAACCACACAAGTAAAGTACAAAGTTTCTGATTCATCTGGAAATTCAAACAATGACTGCAATTTTCGAGTGACTATTGATGGTAAGTTTGTAGTAATCTATATATAAAGGGAAACATTGTGATATTTATGGTCAGTCGGTTAACCGATTTCACTTGCTTTAGTTTAAAAAAAATGATTTTAAATAATTCTACTTATGTGGCACTGGTCAACACGACATTAAATAATTAAGACAGTCTTAGTTCACAGACTCTTTAATTTCTTACCTTGTCCAGTACGCAATTTTACAGCAGATGCACTCATAGGTGTTTCATATACCTAGTATAGTATATAATTCTGTTTCAAATAGGCATGGCAACATTGTTTATGAACGATAAGGACATATGAAAGAATAATGTCTATTTTAGTAAAAATTATATAAAATGGAGAAGTACTTGAATTTTTAAATATTGCATGCAATCAAGAGTATAGAAGGATGGGCGGACGGCAGTATTGGAAAGGTTCTGTATGCTGTGTTGATGAATGATATTTAAGCCACATTATAGCGTGTATATGGCACGCCAAATTCACAAAAATGAGAAAAACCTAGTTTCACAATTGATAAACTAGGTTTATCGACTGTAAACTATAGTTTACAAACCGTAAACTATAGTAAACGATTCGTTAAGTATAGTTTTCATCTGTAAAACTATATTTAACGGTCGTTAACTATAGTTTACGAATGCTAATCTAAGTTTATCTGTCTGAATAAAGCGTTAACAATAGATTTTGTTGATAAACATGCCATTAGATTCACGTTTGTAAACTATAGTTTACAATCGTAAACTATAATTAAGAGTTTTTAATCATAGTTTCACTAATCGTGAAACTATATTTATCAGATCGTTAACTATAGTTCACGGTTTGTAAACTATAGTTTACAAATCGTGAAACTGTATTTATCAGATAATCTATGTTTTGCAATCGCAAATGATTGTTTTCGGTGTTAAGTATAGTTTACGGTTGTGAAACATAGATTATCGCGTTAACTATGGTTTATAGATGTGAAATATAGATTAACGTTGTTAACTACAATTTACAGTCCGTAAACTATAGTTTACAACCGATAAACCTAGTTTATCGATTGTTATCTCATTTTTGTGAATTTGGCGTGGCATACATGTACTTGTATTAGCTGTAAGAATTTGCGTCTAAATATGGTTGCCGCTTTAAAAGTTAATTAAAACTTTTTACAAGTAATCTTATATTCTTATAAAAGTATCATCTTCTTTCAGAAATATCTTGTGGATGGCCAATTCTTCCAGATCGGTACATGAATGTGGACTGCCCAGATGGTTTAACTTCTGGTGTGGAATGCCAGATAGACTGTGGAACTTTTGAAGTGGTAGGAAATACTACCATATTCTGTGAGAAAAAAGGCCAGACAACAGTGAGAGGTGAATGGAATTATGGTCAAATGAAGCAATACTGTAAAAGTGAGTGTTTTCTTTCCTTTTGAATTAAGGCAGTGATCTTTTTCAAATACAAGAAATACTGTTTTTCTCACATTTCTTAATTTATATTAAGAAGATAAGTGTAGGGCACACAATGGAGGATCAAATTTGTTCATAGGAATATATAAGGGAAAAATCTTTTCAAGAATATTTAAAAAATCCTTGATTTGACATTTTGATATGAAAGCATCCTAAGGTAGGATAGATTTAAGTTTGTTCAAATCAAGACCCCTGGGGATAGGGAGGGGACACAATGGGGAATCATTTTTGTACACAGTAATATATAGGGGAAATCTTTTAAAAATTATTCTGCTTAAGAACAGCAAAGCCATTTGTTTTATTAATATAGAAGCATCCTCAGGTGATTTTTTTTTTAAATACTGGACTTATTTGTGCTTTTTCCTAGCAAGTGTGCTACGATGAGTGATGAGGCCCATGAACGTGTTTTAATTGGAATTAAAGCTTTCATTTATAAAGTTAATTTAAGGGTTTTGCCATTTGTGTGTTTGATGTGCTTGTCAAGACTCATATACAGGGTGTCCCAAAACATATGTTACACTTTTAAACCGTTATAAAAATTTTATGCCTCAAGTTACATTAATGAAATTTAAAATATATAATAAAATTGCTGTAATTTTTTTGTCAAGAATAAATTTGTCACAGTTTCCTTATTAACCTTTTTTTTATTTAGAATTACACATGTCATTTTACAACATGTTCCAAATGACGTCTCTTTAAATCAACAAACTTTTTTTTCTTTCATTTTTTCGTTTTTCATTTGTTTGAACACGATTTCTGAAGTTTTTTTTTTACCAAACTTAATTGTAACAATTTAACAGTTAAGAGGTTTTTCCACATTTAAATTGGGTTTCACCAAGCAGCAGAATTTAAGATTCTCTTTAACAAAATCGTTAAAATGGAAGTGGACTTCATCGGAATAACAAGCATCTGTTAAATTTTCAATCCAATGCGTAAACTGTAAACAACTTCTATTTTCTGTCTTTTTCAAATGCTGCATTACACTTATCTTGTTGGGAATCAGTTTTAAATCAAATTTGAGTATTTTATGAATATATGTACTATATTTACCACAGATGCTATCTTGATCATACAGGACCTGTCTAAGGGATTTTTGTACAGTTTCAGTAATAACTCTATCAATGGTACTAATGTTCTTTTTGGTACAGGCACTCCTAGGTCTTCTTATACCCGAATGAAGTCATGTGTCATTTATGGTGCCTTTAACTTCAAACTCCCTCAGAAAACTGGAAATTAGTATTATGTTAAGCACTTTTATCACAGGATGTTGTTTTCTCATGGTTTTAATGATTAAAGTAGCAGATTGAGACCTAAGGTAAAGTTTTACAATTTCTACCAGCTGTTCACATGAAGGTTCCATGTTCAAAATTTGATGACGTCATTAGAACATTCTAACTGTCTGATTTCTTAACAGAATTTTCCGAAAGTTTGTCAGATAAAATGTATGCTAATACAATAGATGCTGACAAAATATCGTTGTGAAAGCTTTTGGTTTGTTAAAGTTTTAGATAATTGAAAGTGTAACATATGTATTGGGACACCCTGTACATGTTCTAGTAAATTGTTGTAGAGTCAGTTGTAATATGTGAAATGAACATATTTTCGTAGAGAATCCCTGTGAACCCCTTCCAGCCCCAGCCAACGGTGCAATGGCCTGTGATGAATGGTTATACGGTGTATTTTGTCAAATGCAATGCATGGAAGGGTATGATATCCCGAATGGAGCTGTCGGTTCAAATAATAAGGTGTTTACCGGTCAATACGTCTGCTCAGAAACAAAGGGAACTTATATTCCTTCCAATACTGTTCCTAACTGCACAGGTAATCGGAAATGCAAAAAGTAAACCAAGAAATTTCGTCAGTGATCAATTTTGAATTTAACACATATGATAGCATCGAGTTTGGCTGTTTGATTGGTTAGTTGTTTTTTGATTTAACTAGAGCCCGAGGAAACCTCGAGTGTAGATTCAATTTCTCTCAAATCATCACTGGGGATAAGGGGCAACCACATAAATGTCGAAATTAATTCTTTGAATTTACGGTGGTCATTCAAAAAATACGTAGACAATGTTCCTCATCGTCATATTATTATTACGAGATTATAGATCAACACATCTTCGTAAATAAAAACAGTTATTTTAATTTGTCGAAGTGTGAAGTTTCATTCCATTTGATTAAATAGAACTCAACTTAGCCAATTTTTAAAGCAACATGTTTTGTTTCCACGAAGCTTCATTCCATTTGATTAAATAAAACTCATGTTAGCCAATGTTTAAAGCAACATGTTTTGTTACCACGGAGCACGGTTAAAAAAATTGGTCGGTCGAGCAAGTTTTCAGAATTACTCTGCTTTTTAATTTCTGACACGGCTTGTAGCGTCTTTTCCATTCAGGAAAACGCATCCATATCTTTAGATACTTAGTTTGCTAACAATTGTACAAATACCAGAGGCTTGAATTTGATTGTCAGTGTTTTTAAATTTCTTACCATGTAACTCCATAAGTTCCGCAACAGTGAAGCGCACATCACGTTGAATGACATTCCTAACTCTTTTGACAAGGTTTTAAGCTATTATAACCCGTTTTTTTGCAGACCATCCATCGTCCGATTCAAACCCTCTACCACTCAAAAATGCTATTTTCCATTTTATACAAATGCACGGCTTAAGTTCGTATATTTCCTGGTTTACACAGAATTTTTCAAGCTTGTTTAAGGTAGGATTCTTCTCTGGTTTCTGACTAGATGAAACATTCAAAGTATATTTGCTTATATGTCATATATTGTGGTGTAAGGAATTTAAAAGACCATATTTTTCTTTCCTCATCACAATTGTACAACTTTAAATAGAAATGGTAAACTGCGTTTGAAAAGTAGCAGGGACTATATTTTTGGCGTAATGGTGGCGTATGAAAATATCTTCAGATCTTTTCTGCCTCTCAAAATTATAATAGAACAATGAATTTAGTCATAATTTTTACACAATCGAAGACTTGGAGAAATTTTCAAATGTAAGTTAGACTAATAATGAGGGACTAAACTTTCAAAATATATAAAAGAAATATGATTTTTCAATCAAACTAGAACTTTATTAGCTTTTAAACACTTCCTATCAAAGTGCAGATTTGAGCCAAAAATCCATAAAAAGTATTTTTTCTCTCTTAGTAAACGATCAAAACTTTTTATTTTTGTATCATTTTGTACATTTATAAGACTACTTTATTATATGTGAAAATAAGAAAAAGTTAAATATAGGAAGCCTATGAAAATAACTAATATATCCTAAAAAATTAAGAAAAACAGAGAAAATTCAGATTAGCAAATATCCAGTTTAGTTAAATTATTTATGTAATTTGGTAATATCATGCTAATGACCCGATATAGTAAAAGGTTTTATGCAAAAAGAACAATCATTAAACTATTGAAATAAGAGTAGGTATCACATGATTGGCAACAGTTCTTTTTTTATTCTTAATGTCAAGGAAAAAGATAATGACCTTGACCTGACCTTGCCTCTAATATAAAACGGTCAAATTTAATTTCACTGATACTATCACTTACTGATATTGTCTTCTTGATTCCTGAAGATTTCATTAATTTTTAAATATTAGAAATATGAGAAGAATCCTACCTTAAGCAGTTTCCCGAATGCAAAGCAAAAGAACAAGATAGTATTTTGCCTTTTTTGACCAAGTCCATATGTATTTAGAAACTGATATCTTTTAAATGGAGCGATATACGACATTACCTGATAGAATCTTGGGTAATACAGCAAAACTTGATTTAAACATGTAAATTTTATTTCGTATCAGCTCCATTTATTAGAGGTCAGGTATAGCTATAGATACTATAAAGTGAAAATTAGTAAATAAACCAATATTGCCGTTGCTCCGTGACCCCATTTTGCTGTTCTAAATCTTTGAAAACATTTATAAATACGAAGATATATTCCATTTTTTTTAAATTCAGATTACATATGTATATGGATTAAAATATGTGTACAAAATTTGGATATAATATGACGTTAAATAAAAAAGTTAGGACTAAAGTCTACGAACTTTTTGAATGACACTCGTACATGATAACAATTTTCCAGCCCGATTAAAACCCCTTGCATAGCTAAACAGAGGCTTCCATCTATGAACTCAAACTTCCGACTTTAATTTTTTGTCTTTTTACTGGTGATGCAAACAACTCTTTCTTTAAATAACTATTGCAGTCATCCTTAAACCGCCTTTATCCAGACGAGGCACATGTATTAACCAGTGCCCAAGAAAAGAGATTGTGAATTTGAATCTTTTCCATGTCTATTTCTCTACACTGGGCTCAAATATTACTCAGTCATAATTATTCTGCTGTTTTAATGCACAACATCGACTTTTTGACGATTACAAACTTAAAGTTTTAAGATATATGCTCTTTATATACATTTATCCAATTTTTATTCGCGAATATATACATTTGTGGTATCTTTCCACTATATAAACATACAGAGAGAAAATACATGTATCTTCAATTCTGTATGAAGTTTGTCGGAGGTTAGAGGTCAATGCATGGCCGAATCACATGGCGCAATAATATCTACCGTTACTGACTGTCTTGTTATTCATGTTTGAAAAATGAACAAAATAAGCAAGTGAAATAATTGTTTTATTAACAACGTGAACAATTACTTCATACATTTTTTAGCGATCGATTTAACCTGTGTACATAGAGAATATGCCAGTCCGATAGAAACTAGCCTTTGTTTACAATGTGTATGTCACTTTTGTCAGCTGCATAGTATCTTTTTTTGTTTATCCTTATTTTTTTGTTTATCCTTATTTTTGTAAGACCTTAAGTTAAATCTTCGTGATATAGGCTAAAACTATACATTTTCATTAAGTTCTACTCACGACAAATTTGTAAATCTGTTGGAAAATATCAAAGCATTGCAATCACGCCATGAATAGCTGAGAAACACCTAGAACGGCGCTGTCGTACTTCAATATAAATTGTCGCCAGTGTCTCCGTGTTAACATCATAAATATTCCTTTTGTTACTGAAATCGTAGATTGAATGTTTTTGTTCAAATTAAAAACTTGATTAGGCTAACTGGATCGGACAAGTGTCTCAATCCATCGGATCCATCAATTCAGGCGACCGAAATTCCTCAAACTTTTTATCATCAATTCGCAGACGTGTTTCTTCTGTCCTTTCAGCATTAGTGATCAATTTTCACAAACAAAAATATTCCAAGAAAAGAATCTGTTCAGAATAATGGATCACAAGGAGCCCTTAACAAAATATTCCCTTCGAAATAGAATTTTCAGCCCGACAAATTCGAAGCGTAACCGCCTTTCAAGCCGGTTTACACCTTGCGTACTTTTGACGGGAATCTACGGCGACCGGTTAGTGCAATATTTATATCCAAGATATCTAATTTAATATTTAATTGTCAATCTCAAATGTATATATAATTAATAAATAACAAGTATATAAACTTCAATGGGAATAGAAGTGGATCGGTACGTGATCACGTGATCAGGATTTGATCACGTGACCGACCCACTTCAATTCCCATTGAAGTTTATAAACTTGTTATCTATTTCTTAAATAATAATGATTTTCGCGAATGTTTCTTGTCGTAATCCAATTAGTCTCACAGTATTTAATGTTATGTAATATGTAGCCTGATCTGTAAACAATTACCGGTTTTACGAAAACGCGTGTGGACTTCAAACTGTGACATCGCAAATAATACAGTAAATAGTACAGTACATGTGAATTTTTAAAACGCTATCAATTTTAAGAGACTGTTAGATCTGCAGATTTATATTTTGCATAATGTCTTTTATTGAGGCTAATATGTAATAAAATATTAATTAAATGATTTCAATTTTTGTGTGAAAACAAAAGTAGCCTAAATTAAGCTACAACTTTCTCTCATAAATTTATCCCTGAGATCTTGACCAGACGACATTTATAAAAGGACTTTCGATATTGAACGCTCATACTCCGAATGTTACGCCATACTCATATGCGTAATGCAAATTAAAGTTCACAAAAATGGAAATTAAAGAAATTGTAAGTTATAATTATATGAATTTTTAGCATTTTTTTTTTATAATAGACTATTTATTAGCTACATGTATAAATATATTATTAATTATCTAAGGTTTGCCTCTGTTTACTTTTAGTTAAACGACTTCCATCTGAATCAATTACATTGATGGAATTCTTTTACTACACTGGAGACTGCAACAACAGAACAGTACAAGAGGAGATAAGAACAAATTTTATAACATATATAAGGGATATGAATGATAATGGAGGGTTTGATGGCATTTGTCCAGACGAAATTTCCTGCAATATTGCAAATGTTTCCGTCTCTTGTGGAGAAATATCTAATCGAAAGAAGCGAGCTGCCGAAAGAAGAACCACACTTAAGGTTCAATTTGAACTACAAACACGTTTCCTAAACTCAAATACTACGAATATCGTAAACATTGTTCCAAAACTTCAAAATAAATACATGGATGTTGTAAAAGAAAGTGCACGGAATGGTACCCTTGACCTCGGTGATTTGAAAGTCGACTCCGAAAGTTTCCAAATCGATGAAATGGTAGGCGTATGCGATCCAGGATATGTCTGGAAATCTTCAACAATCTCTTGTGGTATGAGTTTAATATGTGTATTCAACTATTCATGCTTCTTGTGTTACTTGTATATTATTTGAAAAATTGAGTTTTGTTGTTTGATATATTGTTTAAAATTTATTTTTTAATAGTGCCATGCCCACCTGGAACATATTTAGATTATACTCGAGGTAAATGTCTTGACTGTCCTATTGGAACCTACAAGGAAACAGAAGAAAGTGCAGTATGTACAATGTGTCCAGCGGGAACGTCAACAATATCAGAAGGAAGTTTGTCAAAAGGCGATTGTAAAGGTGTGATAGGATATTAGAGACATACTTACATGTAGAAATTACAATATAACCAATGTTTGCCCTTCCTCTTTAATAGCACAATACATCCCCGCAAAAAAATGCAAAAAAATATTAAACAAAAAAGATTTGTTTATGGAACACTGGTGCCCCAGTATGACAGCTAATGGCGACAATTCAAGTTGCTCAAATTCAAGTGAAGTTATATCTGTAGGTCAACGTGAAGAGGATAATATTAAATTTTATGGTATCAAGAGGAGTGTTGAAACGTGCAATATATGAAAGTCCTTGTAGCATCCGTGTTCAATGTTTAAGGTTTTTTTTTTAAATTTGCCAAAATCTAAGGTTAAGGTCTAATATAGTTGTACCAATTAAAAGGTCTTTTCAAAATGAATTAACAACTAAAGTATGAAAGCCCTAACTACAACTACAGGTCGGAAGTCAAATTTGATAACACCAAAAGGAAAGGTTTTGTCACAAAATATACATCTTCGAAGTAAGAATCTCTGTATAAGCCACACCAATTCAAAAGTTATGGCAAGGTTAATGTTTTTGCGGACAATCAGAAAAACAGAGAGACGGACAGACAGACAGGCAGACAGACAGGTAGGCAGGCAGGCAGATAGACAGGACAAAAACTATATACCCCCGAATCTTTCATTGTAGGGGTAAAAATAACATGTTACAGAAATAAGGATAATTCTAGTCTTGTCTTAGCAAAATTGAACTTTAAAGCAAAAATATGATAAAACATTTTGTTCAAATGGTGTACCTGGGGACTGGGTTAGGGTTAGTCCAAAAGGAAAAGGCATATATAATATACATGTAGAAATAAATGAAAAAAAACTTTTAGTCAGAACCATAGTGCTAAGGTGAATGATAAAAATAATATGATAGAATTTCAAAATAAATTTAGGTTTTTTCAAAATGAGACCATTAAAGGTTTTATGGAACCCACATCACCATGGTGTCATGTGGGCCTGCTACTTCGTCAAAAATAGTAACTATATGTACTTAATTGAATTCATATTCAGTAGTTTCTAGAAAAGGACTTCTCATGATTCAATAGTGTTCTGCTTTATATTGAATCTTGTCAGATACGTGTGGACCTGGCACATTTTCTAAAACGGGTCTCATACCTTGTGTGAGATGCCTATATAACCACTACCAAGATCAAAAAGGAGCTACATCCTGTTCTCAATGTCCGAAGGGCAAAATAACAACATCGGTCGGTAGTGCAGATATAGCTTCATGTAAAGGTTAGATCTCACTCTGATTTATGATATTTCTAAATTAATAAAAATATTAATTTCCTTCCAAATTGACTGTATTTTTAAAACACTATGTAGTGCAAAAAAAAAACAAACAAACAAATATAACTTTCGTCCTTACTGTATAAATTCTTTTGATGATTTGCGATACTCTATCCCTAGATATGGACATACTCTTTAAAAAAGAAGAAACAATTTACCTGGGACATCTTAAAGAAATTAATCAACTTACCTACGCAACCTGGTTTAAATTTGGAAATAAATCGTTAAATTTGACTTTTTTCCGAGCAACATCACCGAATAAGAGCATAGAGTTCCGTTTACAGGATCAAGTTCTTTACTTTATTATTGATGGGTAAATATTTTTTCCTTTTTGTTTGTGGCTTTTAAGTATGATATAACTACAATTTCAGTTTTCGTTATTAATTTGTTTTTATTAATTTGTGGTAACCATTAAATTTGTTATTTTATTTAAAAACTTATTTGTTTTAGAAAAAATGTGTCCACTCACTTGATAAATATGTCTAACAAGTGGAATCACGTGACTGTGATGCTATTTGGAGACGCTGCAAATATTAGACTTTATAACAGGCTTCGACTGCAGATGGATACAATTGTCAATCTGACGTCATATTTTTATATATCGGATCAAGCGAATGCCGAGTTAGAATTAACATCAGGAAAGGGTAGGGGGAGATACTTAAGACTTTAATTTGCATTATTAATCTGAAAAATAAAATTGATATACTTCGGATGTCCATTAATTTTTTTTGCGAATAATCTTTAGCACAATAGAATTATACATGTAAAGTGTATATAATATAAATTTAAATGAAATCGTTTAATTTTCTCTCAATTTTCAGAATTTAAAATATGCAAAAGAAATGTAAATAATGTAATTGATACATAATGTAATTGATACATATTACACTTCTGTTGGACAAAATGTTGTAAATAAAAAAAAGGTCAGATAAATTGACTTGCATTTAATTTTAGATGTTATGCTTTCCGGTCTGCAGTTTACAGATAGACTTATTCAAGAAGACGAAAAATATTTAATCCAAAGGTGTAATAGTTCGCTTGATATGGCGATTTTTAATATGAGGAATTTGTCAGAACACATTATCAACAATTCTTCCGTTCGTAAAATTATCCCAAGTTCCTGTTTCGGTAAGCATTTTCATTTTATATTGCATGAGAGAATAGATAAAATATCGAATGAGTTCAATATTACGATATAATTAATTTTAGTTTCATTTAATTGGGAAAAAATAAGTTCATATCGTATAAATCTTTGAATATGAGTGACAAATTCTCCAAAGGAATGTGGGAAAGCATATACTTACATCATACAATCTGTGTTGTTTACGTCTCACCTAAAATCGTATCAGTACATGTACGCTTGACTAGACATTTAAAATGTTTTAGGGAAATAGTGCCTTTTTCAGCAAATAATAAATGATAATTAAAATAAAAGGAATAAATTCAATATCTGCCAAAGTTACACTGGTTTAACTCAGATTAGAAGAAAGTGCATTTTACTAAACCTCTTTGTGGGTCATAAAAGTAGACCTCCCAATCCAAGATTATACAGTTTAACGTAGGTAGCTATTAAATTGACTCATGTTTTGTTTACATCACAGATAAGGATGAATGTGAGCCAAATCCTTGCAATGGTCATCCTTGCTTAAATGAATTTGGAGGTTACTTTTGTAACTGTCTTTCTGGATTCAAAGGGAAAACGTGCCAAATTCCACCAGACTTTTGCGCCTCCAATCCGTGTTTTAACAATGGAACCTGTAAAAATTCGAACTCCTCCTACAATTGTTTATGCAATAACCAATACACTGGAAGAAGATGTGAAAACGCAATAAGTAAGTTATATATATATATATGATAAAGTTATATACATGTGGAAAATAAAATATAAAAGTAAAAAAAATAAATCGAACGCGTTCAAAGTTTTTTTCTTAAAGGTGTATTTTACAGAAGTGTACATTTGAAAGAAGATCATATCGTAGAATGATTTTCCTCGAAAGAGAACACTTCAAAAAAAGATGTAACAGTTGTTAAATCAGTAAATTATCTAAAAATTAAACATTTAAAACGCAAATAACCTTATATTCATAAAACATGTACATGGAAATTTCATATCAAATGCCCATCAAGATTTCCTCATTATTTCAGTTGACGGTGGATGGAGTAACTGGGAATTCTGGTCCACCTGCTCAAAATCATGTGAATCTGGTACAACAGAAAGACGGAGATTTTGTAATAATCCTCTGCCATCTCAGGGTGGGCAACCGTGTGAAGGACTGGGGGCTGAACGACAGGAATGCAATACAGAAAAATGCCCCGGTATTACAATTTTAACAAAAATTGCAGATGAACACTTAGCTTGACAGTCATATAAATTTAATTTTTGTCCTTTTAGAATGTCCTGCCTTTACAGCTGGAAATAATTCAGTTGTGGATTGCTTTGAGAACGGTACACAACAGATAAAGTGTTTTCTTTCATGTGAGGAGGGTTACTCATTCCAGACAGGTCTACAATTAAATATTACATACGTGTGTGGGATAGAAACGTCTTTTAAATGGAATGGAAGTTCAATTTTTCCACAATGTGGCCGTAAGTTCCATACTTCTAAAACTCACTTGAAATAGTTTCACATTACTTAATCCAGCAACTTCTATTATATCTTTGCATTATTCAAATAGCATTTATGTATAAGTATATATAGGAGTCCAAATACCGAGGGAGCTGAAAGCAAACACAGACTTTAATTATGACAAGGCACTGAAATGTTCCAGAATGCAAGAAATAACGGATATTATTAAGGAGAAAACAAAAGAAACCGTAAGATGCGTTGTGAACAAAACTTGCGATTCAGAAATAAAACTGGAAGGTATGTTAACTTTTTTATTGAGCCAAACAAGTGATTAATTTTTCGGTAAACTTTTCACATTTTCATCTTCTACTCAAGAACCACAGGGCCAATTTCAACCAAACTTGCCACAAAGTATTCTTAGGAAAAGGGGATTAATATTTTTTTTATATAAGGACAATTGATAATTTGAATTAGTGAAAAATTAATGGCGTTTTTCAAAAATCTTCTTCTTAAGAACCACTGGGCCAAGAAAAATGAAACTCATGTGAAATCATCCTCAGATAGTGTACATTCAAGTTTGTTCAAATCATGACCCCTGGGGGTAGGGTGGGGCCACAATGGCCGATCAAAATTTTATATAGGAATATATAGGAAAAATTTTTAAAAATCTTCTTCTCAAGAACCACTTGGCCAGGAAAGATGAAACTTATGTGAAATCATCCTAAAGTAGTGTAGATTCAAATTTGTTCAAATCATGACCCCTTGAGGGTTGTGGGGGGGCAAAATGGCTTATCAAAGTTACATAGGACTAGATGGGGAAATCTTTTAAAATTGCCTTTTCAAGTACTTCAAAGCCATGATTAATGCTATTTACGTGGAATCATCCTCAGGTAGTGTAGATTCTAGTTTGTTCAAATCATAACCCCCAGGGATAGGGTGGGTTATTTTTTTTAAAATATATTTTAAAAACTCAAGAATAGCAAAGCTATGATTAGTAATACTAGTATTTATATGGAAGCATTTTCGGGTAGTGTAGAATTAAATTTGTTCAAATCATAAACCCCCAAGAGTAGGGTGAGGCCACAATGAGGTATCAAAGTTTTATATAGAAAAATAAAGGAAAAATCCCAAGAACAGAAAAGCTATGTTAAATCAATTTGAAATTTAAGCATCCTTATGTTTTGACGATATAGATTTATTCAAATCATGAAACAAAGGCAAAAACAAATTAATACTTATATATAGAAGAAAATGTTTTTTTTTTTATCATCAAATATAAATATGAAGGCAACATGAGAAAAAATAGTGAACATTTCAGTTTTGTTTCCTTTTTTACCATTTGCTCAGGTGAATATGTTGGGCCTCTTGTTTCAGTACACATAGTTTCTGTATTTGTTTCTCAGGGTAAATAATTTATTGGTTAGATATCCTAGTAAAATTAAACAAATGGGTAGTTAGCTATAGGTAGGGGTTTTTTTCCTACTCAAACCTGCAGATGGATAGTTAAAATGTTTAGTTTTGACTTCCAGAGAAAACGTCGGAATATTGGAATATCAATCTCAAAATAAATTTTAAAAAAATGTTTCCTTGAGTTTGCCAAAAAAATTATTTTTGTAATTGGACTGTTTTTAGGCAGTTGCATGTCAGTAGAGGGAAATTAGTTTTAAAAGAAAGCCTTACTTTTGAAATACTAAAATGGTGATTTTGACAGTCTTACGATTTCTTTTTCTATTCTGAATGTTTATCTATTTCTTTTGCATGAATTTTTAATAATAGATATATTTTAGATGGGGAAAAACAATGAAGAAAGTAAGTATGGAAACCCGTTGGGTCCAAGTAGGATAAATATTTTTGGCGTCCGCTATATAATTTATATGGCGGCCGCCAAAAGATCGCCACTTTGGATTATATATATATATATATATATATATATATATATATATATATATATATATATATATATATATATATATATATATATATATATACATGTATATATATAATCCAATGAATAGTCTCAGTGGTCGGAATTAAATACTTAAAATAAAGAAGAAAAACACATAATTATCTGGCAGCCGGATAAAATATTTTTCCTACGTGGCACCAACGGGCTTCCGTAAGAAAGTCAACTTTCCTCATATAAATTCTTATTCTTATTATCTAATGATACATGTACATGTAACATGCTATATTAATTATTTTCGTAAAAGATTGCACGACGAACAAGAGAGAACAGGAAACTAGAACAGCAAGTCTTGTGTTGTCACGAAAAATTAGATCGACTGATACTGGTGAGTTTTAAACAATATAGATATGTATCAAGAAACCAGATAAAACAAAATATACAATCATGTATCATAAGAAGTTTGTATATTGTCAAATTGTCATTTTCAGATTTTTTTTTTTACAGAATGATCTAGATGTATTTTACAAAGTTAGATAAATTTTTGTTTTTCCGTTATTGTGTGTCTTATTTTTTTAAAGGTATATTGTAATATATTTTTGCGATGTTCAAGAGAAATATGAGTTGAAAGTGCATTTAGTTTGGATCAGAAAGAAAACTGGGCGAATTTAAATTTGAAATTTCATTACTACCACAAACAATGGTTTTATATGTATTCCAAAGCAAATTTATATCTGTTTTAATATGTTTAAATTACATGAAAAGTGATATTTTTTCGACACGTGTTGATAATATGAAATTTGGTCTGATGAGGAATTTTTTTTTAAATATTGCATTTTTTTTTCAAAATTAGATCTTAACGAATTTGAATGAATTGCATTTTGCGTCCGAAATCTACACACGAGTGATTATTTCAGAAAATTAAATGAAACAACCACAACTCGCTAAAATTTGTAACATTAAGAAACATTAAAATTCATTTCAGGAGACGAAAATGGAGACGATTATGCAACTACTCTGTTTGAACTGGAGTTTTCACTACAAGAAATAAATAATACTGAGGGAATTCTTTCTTTTAAAATGGATGGCGAAACTTATCGTTCCCTAGGGTCATCCATTGAGGCCCGTATTGTGTGTGAAGAAGGGCAAGGTGTTAACCAAGGATTATGCAGTAAGTGTGTAGTAAAATTAATATGTATTCGGACTTTCTTAGTGTTTTAAAATCTAATTTTCAGAGAAATATCTTTTCTATTTTTGTGTGTATTTTTGCAATTTATTCAACTCAGCGATCATTAATGTCTGTAAAATTAAATTACGTAACTTTTCAATGACATATACAGCTGTATAATGATTATCCAAAATAAAAATGTTTATTTTACACAGTTGATTGTCCTCCTGGAACCTATTCATCCTCGGGTGAATGTCTTCTATGTGATTCTGGTTTTTACCAAGATACAAATAGAGCAGATTTTTGTAAATCTTGTCCCAAAGGATATTCAACGATTGGTTATGGAGCTACAAGTCTGAAAGATTGCATAGGTTCGTTCTTCTTACATATTTATAATAGAATTTTAGCTATGGTCAATGGTTACCATTGCAATCAAAATACAATTTCCATGTGCGAAAGAACGCAAATTTTGATTAGAAAATACCCATTTTTACTCTAAGAAAGGTATTCAATAGAAAAAGGTACTTTCATGACTTAATCTTTTTTCCAAATACACCATTTGTATATAGTTTTTTAGATTATTTCTAGTATTTTATAAGCTGAATATCAACATTTTTAAAAATATCTCTCTAGTATTTGAGTAACTTCACCTCGAAAAAGAAAAATACCCCTTATGGTAGGGTTTGTCTTTGAAAATACCAGGTATAGACTTGAGGCTCTTTTGGAATGGCATAAAATTGTGCGGACATTTTGGAAAAAAATAAATACTTTAGTGTAAAATTCCATACAAATATGAAATGAAAAAATTTATTTTACATAAAATCTTTGATTTTACTGTGAATAAAAGATCTTTGTTGATTTTGTAAATAACTTCCTGTCAGTTTTGTCATCTGATAATTTCTATCTTTTACAAAGAGCTCACTTATCAAAGGGAGATGATTCAAATTTTAAATGAAAATGCTGTTTTTTTCAGATTATATATTATTTTGTCCTCGAAGAAGGGAGGGCATATTGCTTTGCTGCTGTCTGTCGGTTGGTCTGTCTATCGGTCCACTACCCGTGTCTGTTCATTTTTATGAGATTTGGTATACAGATTAATCATAGGAATATCTAGGTCAAGTTTTATTTTGGGTACGATCGGGCCATTTTGAACAGAGTTATGCCCCTTGGACAAATTCCAGTAATTTTCGGTTTCTGTTCATTTTCGTCGCAGATGTTGCACATGTTGTAATTAAATTTCGTATACAAATTTATCATAAAAATATCTAGGTCAAGATTTTTTTTTTGGATATGATCCGGATATTTTGGGTAGAGTTATGTCCCTTGGACTTAGAAATATTTTAATTATTTGGGGAAAGGGGGATAAGTGTTTTACAAATATCTCATATTTTAGATTATAGATTTTTGATCATATGTCTCTCATATTTATAAGCTGAATATAAACATTTTTAAAAACGTCTTTCAAAATTATTTCTGTGAATAACATTGATTTAAGTAGCTTCATTTCATTATATAACATTCACAAAACTACTGAATATTTTTATGATATAACAATATATTTAAGAGTAGGTAATGTGGTGGTAATTTTCTGCCAATTTTGACAAAAATTTTTGACTATGCGTGCCAAAAAAATATTAAGTGACGAGAATGAATGGCTATTATATTTAATTACTTCATCCTATAGCTAGATGTACATGTATATATTTATTTTTCATTTAAGGTCCAAAGCGCTCTGATGTTTCAACGCAAAAAATTGACACCAAAGATGGTAATTATTTCTACATATTCACATTTGCAAATGTTTGCCTTTATGTAACACTATTTGAGCAAGGCGTTTTTATTTCTCTGTAAAGCACGTTCGTCATGTGACCATAAATTGATTGTTTAGTCATAAGCAACCTACATATTTTCATAGTGACGTCATAAGTGATCGACGTGTTCAACACATTCAATTTATACCGTTGAGATTTGAAAAAAAATCTTAATAGATATATAACTGTAGTACCTTATCATTTGTAATAAATTAATCACAAATGTAAATATTTAGGCGGAAGCCGCCTTTTACATTTGCTTTGTTGACCTCTCAGGATATTTGCCCCGTTTCATGGTACTCCAAACGGATGTATCTTAAACTAAGGGCATACAACCCGCTAAATCATATTCGACCCCCTTACCAATCTTAATCGTTATTATCATATCAAAAAGCGTGTGTTATGGCGCATTTATTTTAACAATTTATTTTGATTAATGTAAAAAAGTCCAATAAAAATAATAGCCTAATATTAATAGAACGAAAAGTTACTTTGGTACTCTTGATACGTTTCACGTTTGAGAGAAGAACGAACGACAACTCTGTATGTCTAAGACATAAACAAATCGGGTTCAACATTTGATTAGCACGGGGTCCTGAAGCGATCTTTAGAAATACTACGAGGGACAAAATAGTTCAAGTAGGTAATTATGTTTAAGAATTAATGACAGGTACATAGCTACTGAGGAACTAATCTTTTCAATAATCTTGTATAAAATAGAAGAAAAGAGGTATGTAACTCCTTTTATCAATTGTTTATTCATATATGTGTACTACATTCGCGTAATAATCTAAGTAAACATAGACGATTCAGCGTGAAATTATTGTCAACAAACCCACGTGGAGCACAAATGATTTACAATGGTTGACTGGAAGTGACAGGCCTTCTCTTCAAAATAAGCAAGGTAACTCACGCTGTGTGATTAGCCTGTCTTTTATTGTCACCCTTATCTTTAATTGTTTTTACTTGAAAATGTCGCCTCCTTATGCAGGCATGCTCTAGATATCGTAATATGATAGCTGTTATGGTCGGGTCTTATCGAACGAACTGGTACTCTGTAATTACCATGTTTACATGCCTGGGAAAAATAATCATGCCGAGTTTGTGTATACATTTTTATATCCTTTCTCATTTAATGTAAATACATGTATGTTGAAGGGTGGGCCAAAACTGTAAAATTTGGACAGAAATTTAAGACGCAAGCATAAGAACTACATTGTGTTTTAGTCTGTATAGATGTGTCCCTACGGTCAGGCAGCTAACAGAAAGTGGGATATAATTAAGATTGCATGTGAATTTGCTCTGTGTCACCTCTAAATGGCAGAAGAAAACTCAACTCAGCACAACCAGAAACACTTTTCTGAAGGTGAGTACATCAATTTATCATATTTGTAGTGGAAAATTTTTTTTATAAGTTATGATACATATTTTTGATAGCATAACAAATCTTCTTGTTACGATGGCAAAAATGAACCGAATACTATTTTTGAAAGCATATTTTGACATTTCTTATTTTTGTTGACTTATTTTCTTTTCATTTTTTTTAAATACATGCAAATACATGATTACTTATAATAGTAGGCTTTTGAGAGAGAGAAAAATATAAAAAAATATATGAGGGAAGTCAAATCGGTCAATATTTGATAATTGCTTACTCGATACCGGTATCTGACTTTTTCCGAATTGAATACACATGCAGTTACACGGTAAAATGTAGATAAAAGTTTGATCTTGAGCCTAGTTATTATGAGCTCTGCTAACCCACAAAGCTTATTTTATCATGTTTATCAATGTAATACATGTACAAATAATTATCAATTCCACTGGAAATAATTTTTGGTACTAAAATTAGTTATCAAATAAAACACAAATGCACAATACACCCAAAATTACAAAAGGTTGTTTTAATTGGATCTATTTGACAAACTGCTGTGTACACCTGTAGGTTATATAACTAGCGAAAGAGAGGGGACGGATGTTGTTGGTCAGGATCGCTAGTTTTATATTATTTCATTTGTTGGTTGTTTCCAGTATACTTACACTAAACTTACTATACAAGTTGACATTCAGCAGTTTTGAATCTTTTGTTATTTCTATATACCCACTTAACTCTTGAAGTGGGTATAGTGGCATTAATTTCTTTGCATGTCAGATTTCACTGAATAAATGAATGAATGAATGTAGATCAAGGCGATAACGGGTGTTTTACAGCTAGGTGTAGATGAAGACATGCTAATTACCATTTGCATGTTTTAGTTATAATTGATAAGTTTTTGATAAAAATGTGTATCTTGAAATAAGAAATAATATACATATGAGTAAAGGAGTACCTATTTTTAGTATTCAATACTTGGATCGAGTACCCGGTAAAGTTGACTTCCCTAGAAAAATATATTAAAATATGTCATAAAAGGTTATTTGAAGTCCTTGATTTCATTTATTGAAAGTCGGATGCATTGTAAAATAATTTTTGTTAAATAAGCACTATGAGATATTCTTAATTTTTTTTCAATTATACACTTTGTAGAAAATTCTGCCAAGAGACAGTTGTGAGGGGAATGATGTAGATAATCTCCAGAAAAGAAATCACCACTGATATTGGGATGCATGTACCAATATTTTACAATCATCAAAGACAAATTTACCACAGGAATAAAAATAAAATTGTCTGCCGTTCAAGGGCTGCCATGGTAGAGGCTCTCCTGAAAAAATATTCCATTTATTGTGTACATCCTGACACAGAGTTCACCTGTCATCAGCATTAGAGACTTGTGTGATTTGTTCTACCTGGGCCATACAAGTACTGAATGAAAACAATTCATAGAACCACAAGCACATTGTAAATCTATGTAAGGTCTTCTTTGTATGTTGCATCCTTATATAATTTGCTGTTTTATAACAAGACTTTGTTTCATTGGTACTAAAACTTAATACACATAAAAAACCAAAAAGCAATTGTGATATTTATTGTTTTGTATTACTCATTAGTTCTCATTTTTGTGTGAAATTTTATAATTATCCATTTCTTGTTCCCCAAACCATATCTTACAAATTTGATGTATTGCAACTTGTATTTCAAATTTAACTTGTTATACTTGACAAAAACTTGAGGTACTGTGAGCAGTGAGCTCACTAAATGATATTCCCGCCTCCCATATGATTATAATGGAAAAGTCCATGTTTTGCTGTGGACGGGAAACCCAAAATATGTGTCGGATCAAAAAGTAAAATAGGAGGCAATATGTAATAAAGATTCTGTGAAGGTTTCATTAAATTTCACTCAGTGGTATAAGAGGAGTTGCGGATAAGATATGAGTACCTCAAAGCGTAACAGACGGACGGACGGACAGCTAGACGTACAGATGGACGGACGGACATACCGATTACAGTATACCCTCCCACTTTTCAAGCGGGGGGTATAATAAATGTTAAAATGTTCATATTGACGTCACTTATTCTCATGTATCCGCTTCAAAAGGGAGACATATTGTTTATTCTTGTTCCTTGGTTTCAATACTACACTCCATCAAAATATATATCAACCCCCCCCCTTTAAAACAAATTATGCTTCAAATATGTGTCATTTAAGTTTTGCACATGAGAACTTGCAATCATGCTTCCGCCTATCAGTACTCTCAGTACTTTGATTTGAGTTCTATTTGGATGTGAAACGGGTTGGCACATGATCAAATCTTCCATAAAGCCCTTTGGGCTTTGTGGGATTTGATCACTTGACCAACCCGTTTTACAAATTAATAAAACTCAAAAAATGATACCTTATTTCTTAAGTATTGTTTGCATTACATGTAGATGTGATACATGTATAGTTGAACTTCGTGATAAAGATGCTTCCTGGCTCAAATATTGGATCGTTCATATTTACAGACTGACCGAGATTTTCAAATTAAAAAAAACAAACCAAGAGACGAATTCTTTCAACTTTTACATGCAACTGTTTGTTTACAATTTCTTGCATCTACAATGGCTCTTAATTTTACTCATTTTGAGTTTTTACACTTACCACGGGTCCAGTTTTCATTGGAATCTAAACATTGTTCATTGTTTTGAGACCTACACGTACACATACTAGTACACACAAAACAATATATAAATATTCATAGAGCTAATTGGTAGTAATGAGCGTAAAAAAGAATAAAGTATGCACAAAATCTTCTCTTCATCTTCGTAATTGTTTATATCCCTTTTTAAGAATTCCTGTATTTGACTAAGCAATTTTTAATAAAGAATTTGTTGACAGGGAGCCGGTGTAAAGACGAATAATGACCCCCATCGAATAATGACCGGGGGTCATTTTTCAACGACAAAAAATGACCCCCTACCAGTAGAAAAAAGTCATTTTTTGTAGAAAAAGTGTCCTAGGGGTCATTATTCTATATCTTAGTCCTATAAAAAAAAATTGACCCCCATTGAAAAATGACCCCCTTTAAAGTGAAAAGAGATTCTTTAATTGTCAAGTAAATAAAATTTCTTTTTAATATTCCTCCTTATAGTGTTAGCTTTAAGAATGATATTACACTTGTTGTTAGAAATCAAACCATGCAGCAATCAGGTTCTTATACTCTTTAATAGAAAAAATTAATTTTTCCTTCAACTTTTAGCTTGTATAAGTTTGGCAAATCCTATTTGACAATGAAAGAGGATGAAATATTTACCCCCCCCCCTAAAAAAATTACGTTAAATCAAAAAAAAAAATAGATGAAAAGCAAAAATATGAATAAAACTCTATACCTTTCAATAATACTGAAAGAGGCTCTAGATAAAATATTGAAATGAAATTAAGCCTTCACCCAAGTTCTATCATATCATAATTTACTTCGCCATGATTAAAGCATACTTTAAATGTTGGTGGGGGTATACTTGAGAGTATTGTGGCAAAGTAACAGTTGAAAATTAGTAGAATAGTAGATTATTTTAAGCTTATTTTTAGTCCCTCCTTATAGAAAAATAAAGGTAGGTTAGTTTTTTTTTTGTTGCTTTTGTTGATAATCGACTTCCTCCTAAATAAGTTAAGGGGACGGGGTGGGTATAACACCTAAAATATGCTCTGTAAAGCTGTGGGCTAGTGTAAAAAAACACATTCTAATGCAAAAACTATACATGTAGACATAACCTTTTGATTTAGCACACAGTATTCATTACATTTCTTAATTCTTGTTTTACTCCACCCTTTTACCCAGTTCTGAGTACTAGTATATTTTTCAGAGAATTTAATATGAAAATCAGAACAAACATTTTCATTTTTGTAACGTCTTCTTTATACTGTATCATGATATGAAAAGTTAATTGAAGACCATTTCTTTTTATGTCCCTGTAATCGAAGATTCGGGGATTTATAGTTTTATCGTGTCCGTCTGTATGCCTGTCTGTCTATCTGGCGGTCTTTTTCTCCGCAAAAACTTTAACCATGACCATAACTTTTCATTTATTGTAGCTATGCCTTTCATTCAATATGTGTTTATTCCTTGTGACAAAACCTTACTTTGGGTACCACCAAATTTGACCTTTTGACCTTTACGTTGGAGTTTGTCCCATTTTACAAAAAAATGCCAAATTTTTAATTTACTTTGGCTATTACTTTTAAACGGTAAATACTAGACATAAGTACTCTCATACTTCACAGATGTAATCCTTGTTACATTAAACCTTTCTTAAGAAACCATCAACTTTGACTCTTTGACCTTTGAGTTTGACCTACCTTTCAAACACTAAGTCTTATCATTAGTCATTAATTTTGAACATGTGGTGCTAAGGTTTTCCTATTTTGCAATTGTATTTCTTGTGAGAAGACACTACTTTGGGTACCATTATATTTAAATTGCATTTAAGAAAAGTTTAATCGCTATGTTGCCATACAGGGGCATAGCTGTTTCACAAACACATCTTTTTATATATACTTAGTAAGAGGAGTTGCGGATAACATTGATACCCCAAAGCGTAACAGACGGACGGACATCCCAATCACTATATACCCTCCCGCTTTTCAAGCGGAGGATATAATAATATATGATACTACTGATTTTTTCTGTCAGTACGATGATTTCCACCATCAAAAAACATTGTTTACCTAACCCTTTAGGCTCGATAAATCTTTACTCCTTTAGATTCTGAATCATAGCATTGACCTTAAAATATAGCTATAATCGTATGTTATAAGATCATTATATCATCAATTTATTCCAAATAAGCTCAGGTGAGCATTTTGGCCAATATGCTTCTTTATCTATACTTTTTTTGCCCCCTAAAAATTTCAGCTTTAATCCACAGGGAGTCATTTTTCTACGGGGGTCATTTTTCTTCACGTGGGTTCTGCAAATTTGTAGGGTGGTGCCACTTTTTCTACGGGCAAAAGGGTCATTTTTCTACGTCAAATAATGACCGGGGGTCATTTTTGCTGTCGAAAAATGACCCCCGGTCATTATTCGATGGGGGTCATTATTCGTCTTTACACCGGTTCAAGAGAATAAAAGCCTTAATTCAGGTTAATGAATACAAGTTATGAAGAATATTCGATTGGAATATCCGGAACTGCTTATCTCTAAATGATACAGTACAATAGATACTGAAAGATACTGAAAAGTTCAGCTATATCTTAATTGATCTAACCATGTAACTAATTTCAAATATTAATACAAAATAGCAGAATAAATCTTAAAATTTATTTTAAATGCTTTAAACAATGATTTAAAGGCTGCATGCGATCACAAATAACTTAAAATCACCGAATCATGTTATGGAAAGCTTGATGTGGGTCCTTACTCTGTAATTTTGGATAAGTTAGAATATTAATAAAAAAATCATTACATATTTTTATGATTGTTATTAGTTAAATAAATGACAAATGAATGTATATTTAACCATGCGTTTCCCATTTTCTTCCGCTTATTAAATAATACTGAATGTAAAATATGATGAAGCACCGTGAATTTGCATAAAAGCAGAGTGCAGATTACTTATGCTGAAATAAAATTGGATACAATTTAGTTCTTGGAATTGTAAAACGAATATTAAAAGAAAAGAATATATAAATATTTTTAGTCAATATCTTTATATTATTCTGCCAAAATGTGAAAATGATATTTAAAAGAAAATAATTATCGTTATCAGAGCCAACGTCCCCCGATGTACCTGGTCTACTCCTGTATAATGCTGTTGGATTTGCTGCTATTTTACTAATTGGCGTCATCATAACGATTATTATTTGCATACACAAAAAGAGGTAACCACTTTTTGTAGACAGACATTTTTTCCGAATACCAAAATATTTTAACTGTTAATCAAACTGCTTGTATACTTTTTAGCTCACGTGAAACGAAGGCTCAAGTGAGCTTTTCTGATCACATTTTGTCCGGCGTCCGTCTGTCTGTAAACGTTTCACATTTTCGACTTCTTCTTAAGAACCGCTGGGCTAATTTCAACAAAACTTTCCACAAAGCATGCTTGGGTTAAGGGAATTCAAGTGTGTTCAAATGAAGGACCAGGCCCTCATTCAAGGGGAAATAACTGGGAATTAGTGAATATTTGGTGGCATGTTTTAGAAATCTTCTCAAGAACCACTGTGCCAGGAAAGATGAAACTTATGTTTAAACATCCTCAGGTAGTGTATAGGTTCAATTTGTTCAATTCATGACCCCTTGGGGTAGGGCGGGGCCACTGTGAATAGGGAATCAAAGTTTTACATAAAAATATACAGGAAAATTCTTTAAAAATCTTCTTCTCAAGAATAACAAAGCCATGACTGATCCTATTTATATGGAAGCATCCTCAAGTAGAGCAGATTCAAATTTGTTCAAATCATGACCCCCGGGGGTAGGGCGGGGCCACAATGGCTGACCAAAGTTTTACATAGAAATATATAGGAAAACTCTTTAAAAATCTTCTTCTCAAGAATAGCAAAGTCATAATTGATCATATTTATATGGAAGCATCCTCAGGTTGTGTAGGTTCAATTTTGTTTTAAATCATGACCCCCGGTAGTAGGGCGGGCCAAAATGGTCGATCTAAGTTTTACAGTCACATATATAGGAAAACTCTTTTAAAAAATCATCTTATCAAGAATAGCAAAGCCATGATTATTCATAGGACTACTTTTGGATTTAAAATTTTCAATAATAAACCAATTTCTACTTTTTCCTAACCACAATGCTCAGGTGAGTGATGTGGCCCATGAGCCTCTTGTTTTAATTTTACATTTTTATCCCATAGGAAAAGATCCGCATATGATGTGAGCAAAGAATAAATTCAAAGGAAATTAAAATGAAGTGTTAGAGTGATGTGAATGGAAGCTGAATATTAAAGTGCTAATATCAAAAAGGACTAAAAATATTTGGAGCAAGTCTACTTGAAAGTACGGTATTGCATTAATGTTGCTTCTAGGATCGATGCACACTACCTGTAAATCGTTTAGTGTTGGATTTTGTCATCTTTTAACAATACTCTCTACCCACACACTAGCTATTACACCTAAAAATTGAAAGACTTCAAATTTTAGCTTTTGATTTCTGTGCAGAAAATTAATTCCAAAAAATGAAACGTATAACTATCTTTTATTATTAATATACAAAATAAAGTTAAGAATTGATGCCAAAACAATGACAGGAAAACTAATCGAGAAGACAACTACGAGGTGTATCTCGAGTATGATTGAAATTGAAGAAAAGATCAAATGAATGATTTAATGCTTTTATTAATTTGTGTTAAAATCGTAAGAAAGAACTTAATGTTACATGTAGATAACTCTGGTAGAATATCTGGGAAAAAAATTGCATATGTTACTGTAAATGTATTATATTTAGCGTGTACGATATTTAGCGGAAATTGATTTTTGAACGAGTTAGCGTAGATTTGATTTAGCGCATTTCTCAATGTTCTTATTTATGTATATATCTGCAAGACATTTAGCGTTGTATTTGAATTAGCGGAAGTTCCTTTCCGCCAAAAGCGCTTAAAAGAATACACAGCCAAATGTAATATGTTTACAGTATACTATTTATTGAAAGACTTCATCTTTCAAAACGTCTTTAATGAAATGATTTAAGTGAAGAAATATACAATGTATAAGAAACACTTCGTGTTACTTATTTTATCATTTACTTCCACTCGTCGTTGCAAAGAATCAGTCTATTCACTTTCATTACATTGTTTACATCACGTAGCAAATTCAAACGATAATGGCCAATTAGTGTCATCCGGTAGGTTCTTAGATAAAATAACGCTAACTGTAATAGCTATGCACACTTAAGAGTTTTGATTATATTGTATTTTTTCTGCTGTAAGGGTTGTCTGCCCTTAAATCTAGATTCCAATAAAAACAGATGTACAATAAATTACTCAATTTGTATTCATTTTAAGTATTCTGAACATTTTAAAAGATCTAGGTAAATTTTAAAAACATGTTAATTACAGGTATTTTTTATGGAAGTAAACATCAGTGATTTTTAATGGCTGATACTGTTTTCTGTTTGAACATTTATTTTTTGGGGGAAATGCAACGTATCATATTGTGAAATTAAGCTCAACATACTCAATGTAAATACTTCAAACAATACTGTTTTAATGTTTTTTTTTAAAAAACTGCTCTGGTAAAGAGACGATCTTAAAGAAAATGCCAACTGAAGGAATTTATGTGATATTCATTACCGGTGTTTAGGTCAAATTTGTTTTTTTAATTAATGTTATAATTATGTTCATTGTCAGATACTGGTTATTGCTGCTAGTAATTATCAGTTATAACTGTATTACGATGTTTGAGATATTCGTATAGATTTTATGTACATGCAATAACTAGCTAGAATGTCATGATTTGTGTATTAGGTACAGCTGTAATCATATACCTATAAAAAATTTTGTATAATATTATCTATGTTTATTAGTTTTTTATATTGATTATTTATCTTGACATTTTGCAAATGGTCTTTGCTCGTGAACTTTGAAAAAGTTAAATAAATCAAATGATAAACATGAATCAGACACCATAAAATATTGTGGAGAGAAATGCTACAATAAAATGTAAGATAGCAAATGGTGTTCGATTTTTAAAAAAATATGAATAAAACAAATATGCGAGGGCATAAAAAAGATATCTCTGGAAATTCCAGAGGTGCGATCAGGTGCAAAGGATTTAGTAAGCATCCCCTGTTGACCAGTCATACCCACCGTGAGCCCTATATATTGATCAGGAACACGGAACAATGTGTTAGATGTAAACGCCGTATGCTGGTGATCCATATAGTTGGATATTACTATGAAAATATTGAAAGTCGACGATTGAAATGTTGAAATCATCTTGTTTGTCATGCAATTAAGTTGTTAGTGGAATCGTAACGTCAATAGTCATTATTAGTAAAACACATTGAGGCACTACCAACGCAAATCTGCAAAGGAGGGCTGCAAGTAAACATCTGTACTCTCCACTTACGGCCCTAAAGACTCAGAAGCCACAGTATTCAAAGTTAAAAATGTGTTATACATGTACAAGCTAAGATTGAGTTAAGATGGAATGTGGCAAAGTGGTTTTCAAGATCATCAGCTATAGGTGAGGGTCTTTACTTGCACAAGAATTTCTAATGTACTTACACCTCCTGAGGACACTTAACTTTAAGTCAATACTTAAGCGCTAAGTATGTTTATGAATTACACTTAGGTTATTCTACCTAATTTAAGTAAAACCTAAGGAAGTTAAGTAAAAATACATAGCTTAAGTGATTTTTTTAAACTTTAGAATATGTTAAGAAGTTTTATGAATCTCGCCCCAGGAGTCTTAGGACTGGGTACGGTATTATGTCTGCATGTTTGTTTATAATTAATTTCATAATTACAATGTGCCAGCCATGAGGTATTCTTGGTACTCCAGTCGCCAGCCTTTATAACAAGCCTTCTTTGTTGTAAAAAAAAAATTGATGAGACATGAAAAATTAGCGGGGAACTGCCTTCACTCATGTCTGAGATAAGTCTTAATCTTTGAATTCAGATTTGGAAAACTATCTAATACTCGGATGGTCCCTCACTTATAATTATTCTGTCGAAAAGAGAGGAAAGACTTAAGAAATGTGGTTTTGTGTTTTATTTTTAATTGTTTGGTTTTTGTCCGTCAAAGTCTGTGAACTTTCTTCTTTTTTCTCTCACTATCATTGAGGTTGCAGAATGTTTATATTGTAATTTGTCTAAATATTCGGAGATATCCCTGAATGTTTTCACGTTATTGGTATCTGCTTACATCAGTGATATCCCCCATTATTTTAAGTTGTCATTTTGTGTTTGTCAGAGATATCCCCAACTTTGTTCTAATTAAGGAATGAAGCTTATTTCAACTTATGTTATTTGATATAACATAACTTGGGGCAGTTTACGCTTTAGAAACCGCGAAGCAAATTGAGCGTTATTTTAAAATTAACGTCAAGCGGAGTAATACGTTTTTGACGTAACTCATTGTAGGCAAGTTATGTTATACAAAATGGATAAAACCGTTTATCCAATCAAATGACTAATATTAAATTATTGTTGGTTATTGCTATTTGCTAATTGATATTCATGGTTCTTTTCCCGTAATCGTTATTTGTTTTCAAAAAATGTACACCTACATGATTGCATCAACCAAGCTTCTTGATAATTGACAAGGATCCGACACTCTGTAAGTACTGAACTTGTATATATTAACATGATAGTGTATATCTTAAATGCATTAGAGCGGGGGTATTCCTAATCAATTAGCATTCGCTCACATACATGTTTTACTTGCAAATAAAATAGTACAAAAAAACTTTTTTATAAAAAAGGTCTCACGACCCAACGCCAAATTTATTTGCCAGATCTTTCCACTGTATGAGACAATGCTCTACATTTTTTTAAATCTAAGACTTTATTCTGGTTTCATTCAAACTAATATGAATCCGTCCGAAAGGTGGAAGGCATTTATATTCCATAAATTCAAATTTTGAAAGAAAAAAATCCAATGTACCAAATCTCAATATTTATAAAATTATACCCATTAATCATCTCTAAAAGACCAATAGTTTTAAGGCGGGCTTTGCTGTGGGACACCTGACACCTTTTATTCGATATAATATATATATATTATAGTATATAGTATATCATACTGTACCAGTAACGTAGCAGAAATCAAATATAGATTATCTATGCCTCCTTTTTTCTTCAACTGTTATGAAAAAGGACAAAGCACATATGTATATTGAAGTTGTATTTTATTGATCAAATTAAGCTTTTGATTTTATCTTAATAATGAAAAAAATTTTGTTCTGGTGTGACGCTAGAGTACATACTATATAGTATATAGAGAGGAAGGTTTAACTTCTGTTGAACACTGCATTTTCACAATACTTTATAAACGGGAGATAGCGATAGTGAATTTGTTATCAATCAAGACAAAATTTTCACGAGCTGTGGTCACATGTACCGTATTACATAATTATACGAAGGGTGATCAAAAAGTTCGCGTCTTCTTTTAAAACCACAATTTAGTTTGGCATTTATATACATGTAATATAAATCATATAATCGTTCTGATGGTCAAAAATTAATGTACATGTATGCTGAATGCACAAATAGCCTTTTTGATTATAATTTCTATGTTTCATTCAGATTTTTAAGCTAACTGCGAAATATCTGCGGAAAGAACAATAATGGCTATATTTTCGTTTAAATTCGCTTAGGGTGACCTAGTGCAAAGTATTCTAGGATATATTAAAAGTCTTTTCCCAGTAATTTCTGCCCATGGCCCGATTTTATTGACATGACTTTCGTATATGCGGTATCATGACGTGACTTGGATTTCCAATATCATAATTAATAATTAGCAATGCTAAATATTTATATTAAGAAGGTACTCTACTCCTGATCCCTTTGAATCTATCTAAGTACTAACAATACTTCTGTGTTGAACAGGGTTTTTGAAAGATGATGTACATGTTAACAACCTTTAATTGAACTTAATTCTAAAAAAAACAATAAAGATTCATTTCCATATTTTTCGTATTCTTTGAAGTAAACATCATGTCATTTCTTAGAATTAATTTCCTCTGGCAATCGGGACATAGACGTCAACGGTATTTATTAATTCTGATCAATTCTGAGCAAGAAATTTGAAATTTAACGAAATGACGTCTAATGGACAACTACATTGCGATCAGTGACTTGTTTATTTAAGCATTGAATTCATATTTTTAATTTGTCAGCAAGGCCAGGTGTGTTATAGGACAGAAGACATCCAAAAATTTGAATTCAATGCTTACATGTATATTTACATTTCTCTAATTTTCCTTCTTCGTAATTGATTATTTCGGTAATCTTTAATGTGAATTTAGCGCCCTTCAAAACTGCCGTGGTAAATAAATATAAGAGCCGTTAGTGACGTCAAATGACATTGCAAAGTTAAATAACGCAAACAAAAACTGCGAGAAAAAAAGAACTTATAAATTAATTAACATGGGATGTCTTTGTTCATTTGCAAAAGAAATTTTTGGGGAAAACATTCTCATTGTACGTAGTGAGTACTCTGAAACTGATATTAAAAAGATTCTTGAGAATATTGACAATAACTAATAGTATGTAGTTTTCAGGTCTTTCGACAATTTGTTGGAATTCCCATGGGTACATGGTTTTTCGCTGACCAATTTTTGTTTTAATATGAAGCAGAATTTTTCCATTCAAAAATCTTCTTCATCCGAAGAAATCACTTGCTGCGGCCTTTAACTTGAAAATTAGATACATCGACGACATATTATCAATTAACGATAGTTACTTCCATTCATATGTCGACGCGATACATCCCGATGAACTTGAAAGAAGATAGGGTACACAGTGTGACATCTTTTTGGAATTTTCTCTGGCATATTTTGGTAATTGAAACATAACAGCAAAACTTAATTATAAGTAAAGATGACCTTAACTTTTTTTTATCTTTAACTTCCTTTACTAATTTAGCAATATGTCCTTATCACATACATGTACATGTAGGTATGAGGTTTATGTGCCCCAGTTGAATTGATACGCAGGAGCATGCTTTACATACAAAAAAATCTCAAACAAAGCAAACTTTTTACAAACAAGTAGATGAAACAAAAATATCAAAAATCTCGTTTTTAAAAGGTCTTTATTATGCAGGTTTATGGTCGATAAAATGACCTTGTCGACAAATGCAATCTACAATTAAGTCGAATGCTGGTTGATGTTTGCCATACCAATTGATAGGTCATTATTAAAACATTGAATTGTCTATGGGGTTTTACCTTCTCAGGATCAGGACAAGGAGCACACGGTAGATTCAACAGATCGACAGGGAATGCTTAGTCTTCCATGGCATCTGATCCCACCTTTACTGATTTAGTTTCATGTTTGCGCTGCTCCAGATTTGTAATTTTTTTGGATGTTTGATTTTGTTATTTTGATGATTTTTCAGCTATTAACAATATACATTTTTATTCTGATTCCTTTATAATCGAAATAGAAGGTACAACCAAATATACCAAAATCCGTTTTGTATTTGGATACTTTTTAAGAAAAAAAGCATTTATGGCAACCTTACAACAAAGCTTTTACATAAACTTTTTTACTTTAGTTTTTTAACCGACAGCCTCCCCAATTTACGTCGAGGTATAACATTTTCCCCTTGTAGAGTTTATATCTCCCAGACGATTTGATAGACATGACCATTTCTACAAATGAAGAATTTCTAAAACGAGTTACGTTATTGCTTTTAATTAGTTGATCATTCAAGAATATCAACAGTCTTAGTTTAATTTAAAAATATGTGGTCAATACAACGACATTGAATGCATATGCAATCTATCGCTAACTCGATTGTTGACCATTTTCATACATATTTTAGGTCATTATAAACACACTGAATTTTCCATGAATTTTTAAGACTGCAGTCCAAACAAGAACCACGTGGTAGGTTTGATTGCTGAACAAGGGATGCTTACTTATCCATCACATCTGATCCCATTTTCCGATGTTTTTGAGAGGTCCATTGTTTCACTATTACATGTACTCCTAATTTTGATA